TTCAATATACTGAGTCAAAATTTCCAAGGTTGGAAGCCTACAGGAAGAGTTCAAAGACAGCGTGTTTGTGCAAGAACTGAACGCAGCCAGCTTCTCATTATTAAAACCTTGCAGGAGGAAAAAGCAGACATCTCTGGAAGAGGAAAGCAAGCTTTTGTTTCAAGGAGCTGATAGTTTTACTACCTCTTCTGCTGCCAGGATAAGGTCCCCAGCTGGTGTAAGTAGCACAGCTCTGCTGAAGTGTGTGGAGCTGTGCCAGGTAACACCCATCTGCAATCAGGCCCGCAGTCAGGCTGCCTTCCTGCTGTCAGAGTGCAGAGCTGCTCCTCACTGCAGGCAGGTCTGTAGTGTAGTCCAGTGTGCCACTGAGCGTCCCTTGCTTCCTCTGCTCCACGTGACTCTGAACAAGTGTGTTGCTTCAAAGAAATCATGAGCAGGCCACCTGTCTTTTATCATTGCCTTCTCTCTTGCCTTCTCTTAGTTTTTGTTAGTTTTTGTTGGTTTTTATCCTAAACTAAACCATATTAATTGTGAGCTGTAATGCCTTTGAAAAGACTACAGAGATTAATGAGCTAAAACTGGCAATGTGCAATAATGCATGTCAGATAAACCATTTTTCCTATAATCTCCAACACTTTAGAATCTTGACATAAATATTTTAAAGCAGTGTAACAAGTGTAATCTCTGAAGGTACCAGCAGTAGGTGTACTGTACAAGTAAATAATCAGAACTTCAGTACAATGCCAGTAACCTGTGTATCACTGTAAGTTCCTGGCAATATGAAGACAACTTGTGAAGCTTAAGAATCCTTTATCCTTCAGTTTTCCCTCTTTGTGTCCCTTTTCAATTCAGCTGAAAAGAACGTGCAGCTCTTCATAAGGTCGTTCTCAACCATAGCTGCAACTGGGGAGCATTAGTGGGCTTCATTTCAATTAGCAAAGGGTCGGTTTTCCTTTGTCCGGGCTTTCTGTTCTCTTTGAACATGTGCTATGTTGTGGTTCACTTGTTTTAGGGAGTGTAACGACCTGAGTATCCTCCAAGCTATGCTGTAGGCTATTTGCATAGGCTGTGGAGGCTGTAAATCCTCAAGAATTTTGAAAACTAGGAAGTTCTGAACAAATATATTTGCTGAGGCTCTGATCCTGTAGTTAGTGCTGTACAGGCAAATTCTTGCCCTCAGATAGATGCAGTTGTATCCTTTTAGTTCTGACTCTGCAGATTTTTGCTCATAAAAAGAGGTGGTTAGCAAGACTAAAAGATGCAAGATGACAGCCTCAAGAATCAAAGAAAATAGTTCTTAAATAAAGTGCCTGTGATTAAACATACCACAGTGAGATTTGGTCTAAGATCTAATTCTAAACTGAATTCCATCACTTTTATGCTGATTTTATCTGCAGTGTAGGGGGAAAATGGAACCAATGAGACCAAAATAAACATTTTGCTCTGATCTGCCTCCACTGTCTGACTTTGGAGGGTCCCATATAGGACAAGAAAAAGCACTGAAATACAGTTGAAAACCTTAAAGGTTTTATTGTTCTTATCAGGACAGCGTAAGATGGTTGTTTATATGCTGTGTGTATGTGGTCTTGGACCACAAAACTTGACATGAGAAAGGAAAGTGTTGACACTTGGTAAAGAAGTAGGTTCCTCCCAGCCAGCCACCCACCAGTGTTTGTAGCAATCGTCTCCTAATGTGCTTTTTTTCCCCTCCAGATATATGCGAATGCTCTGATCTTTTATTAGGCTCTTTAATGCATCTCTGCAAGTGACATTACTATTTCGAGATGTTTCTAAAACACTGAAGTGGCTCTTTTGCATCAGCGTTGGCTTTCTTCAAATGAGGTCCGTGGGGATTTTCAAAAGGATACCCGTCCCATCACCAGCTGTTCGAGGACATGGATTTAGCAGGGTAGAATTGCAAAAGGAGGTGTTTGGCACTTAGGGGTTGCCAGAAAATGCCCTTTTGGCTGTTGTGTTTCTTTTGCTTTGGAGTTGAAGTTCTTGGTATTTAAAAGAAAGAGAAATGAAACGATCAACTCCTATGCCGTGTGCATATGGTTTGATAAATACTGAAGGGCCTGGAATCTTGCGTGGCTGACACTTTGTTTCCAGCTTTGTGGTAAACAGCTGAATAGAGTGGAGAAGGCAGCAAGTATTAAGCTGCATCCGCCAAGAACATCTGTATTTATGAAAACTTTCCCTAATCGAAAATCTAGTAGTTTCAAATGCTGAGCGTTTGGAAACTAGCTTAGGGGCGGCTAAAACAGCAAGAAGCAGCAGTGGCTGTGAGCCCCCCGTTCAGCTCACTTCCCCACCCACCTCCTTGTAAAGTGGGCATACAGGAGACATTAATGAAGTCTTAATTAAAAGGTTCTGTCGTCAGACTGCAGCCACATTGTCCTGAAGTTCTTCTTTCAGCCCCTTTCCTTTGCCACCTCCCCTGCCTCCATCACTCCTCCCCACTATTTCCTCCTGGTCTTTAAGATCTACTACACCAGAAATATTTTTGGAAATACCACAGACTATTGTTTTTATTAGTGACTGGAAAGCTTTGTAGTAGGATGCTTTTGTGTTTCATTTGTTTTCTTTTCTCTGGCACAGCTGTTTTTGTTTTAGCAGCATTAGAGAGATGGTTAAACTATTTGTGGCCTTCTCTAACCCAGCAGATCTCTTCCACCGAATGCTTTAAGCTGGATGACCGAAACTGTAACTAACAGGTTGTCTGCGTGGGCAGTTCATGCATAAAGTTACATATTCACTGGTTTTATGAGATCTCCTAGTTTGTTCGGCAAGTCCCACTTTCCCTATAAATTTTCCAGCCAGAACATTGACAGAGCCTTCACTCGGGAAGATACAGAACAGATGAAGCAGTAGATCTTGTTCAGACCTACGCGCTCTCGGAAATGATTAGTGGAGAAGAGGTTTATGTAGGTATGGTGATCCCCACTTCAGCCAGGAGGGGACTGGAAGAAAAGGCATAGCAGGTGCTGCAGCAGAATGTGGTTGGAGGACGAGTGTGTCAAAGGTGGTGTGCAGCAGGTGGAAGTGCCTGAGTTACAAGGAGCAAGATGGGACATCAGGAACCAGGCACCCGGTTGGGAAACGGTGGCAGCAGAAAGCTGTAAGTGGAGAATGAAGGGAACGAAAAGGAAAGTAAAATGAAAAAGTAAATGGAAAGTGAAAACAAAAACCACTTGTGCAAATGCAACGTAAAAGCAAATGGAAAAAGAGAGAATGAATTGTACTGGGGACTTCAGTGCTTGTGCATGGTGAGGTGATCTAAGCAATACTGGAAGTATGGGCTAGTGAACAAGAGAAACAAAAGATAATGTAGCTGAGATGTTGTCCAACTAAGTCCCATTCTTACTACATGTTTCTAGCACATCCTCTGTTGTGAGCACGAGTGCCTGCACAGTGCCTGCACAGTGCCAGTGGTTGGAGAATTCATCTGCATGACAGTGCTGTGGCAGTTTTCTTCCTGGCCGGGAGCGGCAGGTGGAGGACCTGGCTTGATTCATTGTGTGACTGAGAGCCCAGGGCCGGTGCTGGGGAGGCAGCGGGAAGCAGCAGCCGTGTGGGTATGGGTTAGGGGGCACCATCCCTGTCAGCATCGTACAGCATTAGAAATGCAGCACATGGATCAGCTTGCTGATGAAATATAATGTGGGTAGAGTGGGGAAAGGGCATTCTCTGTAGGCCCCTGCCTACAGTAATGATGAGTGTGGCTCTTCTCTTTTGCATGCAGTGGGTAGGGAGGCAACTGTGCTTGTCAGTTTGCTTTCTTGGTGACACTGCAAAAGAAAGCTGAGCTGACTTTTATAGCGGACTTTCTCTGCTGTTTTTGGCCTTCTTTCTTTCTTTTTTTTACATTTAAAATAATTGTTTTCAAGTCTTCTGTCTGTTCTGCTGGGGGAAATATCTGTGGATTAGTGGCTGAATGAGGATAATGTAGGAACCAAAATTTGTGTCTGAAATGTTTGAAAAACTACAGTCCTGCAGTGTGCTGGAGCACAGCAGTGGCTCAAATCCCCAGAAACCAGGGCAAGTCTGCATAGTGTCTGCAGCAGGACCTATGGAACATGCTACAGGACATTACTGAAGTGAATACAGTAGTTCAAAGAAGTATCAAGGACTAGGCAAGACAGGATTTAAGACAACATATTTTGGATCAATTAGAATTCCTTATAAAATCAGACTTCATGCCACAAAACTAAAGCTTCTCATCAATTAACAGTTGTCCTTACTGCAGTAACATGTATGGTTACAACTGCATATAATTCCATAACTTGCTTACTCTGAATGCTTGCGTGTAGCTGAGCGTTGTCCTGTGAATGAGAGGGTGTGAATTGTTTGATGCAAGTGACAAAATGTATGGAAGGAATTGTCAGGTTGGGCCTCTGGGATCTCTGGAAAGAATAGGGAAGCATCTCATGGGATCACCACATTTTCCATCTGAGCATTCCTCATTTACTTTGCAAAAAGAAGGTGAGAGCGAGTTGTCTTTAAGCTTACCCATAGGCTGAGTAAGATAACTGCCTAAGATATGAGCAGTCTTGTAGAATGCCTTCAGTGAGAAAATATATGAATATATTGATGTATTGAGATCTGTTGTTTCTCCTTACTGTGAACTGTGTTGAGAATGTACCCTATCTATAATGCCCTGTGTCTGTAATGACTCATACCTGCTCCTCTGTGTGTGTCGTTCAGCAGACTTTACTCATTGCAGTACTGTAAAGCGAATTGTTCACGTCTATATCCCCAGAAGACATGAAACAAGACAGTTTCTGCCAGTGGGAAGGCACCGTGAAAGCACAGAAATATCAGCTGTCTGTCCTACAATGCCATAACAGTCCATATATCTGCGTTTTGCTCATTCCACGCTTTTATTCTAAATGAAGCGGCGATGCGTATATCTCAGTTGAACTTTCTGAATTGTTACCTACAGCTGTTTCCAGCCCATTACCTTTGCACTGACTATTCTCCCAACTGACACATTTCAGGGCTCCAGAGAGTGCGCCAGCTAGGGAAAAACACGAGATACTTCAGAAGAAGACTGCACGAAATGGGCTTCATCATCTATGGCAATGATGATTCTCCTGTGGTCCCATTACTCCTTTATATGCCTGGTAAGATAGGGTAAGTACTGAAAACATCTGATAAGCAAAACCAACATCTTCCACTTTGAAGGTTACTTGGTATAAGCTATATATAGTTGATATATATAGAAAAATATAGTTGTTTTTGGTAGATGTTTCATAGGAGAAGCAGCATCTGTTAGGTGATTTCATGGAATAACATTCCTGATAACATTTAGAAATTGGATTTTTTAACTAGCAATCCTTGAAAGGGATAAATAGCCTTTGATGTATGAGTTGGTTTTGATGGATTCTCTTTATCCCCATCTGATATTCGAACAATCTTTGCACAGAGAAGATGTTTTACCATTCAGTACCCATCGAGCAGCACTTACGCTGTGACACAGACATAACAAATATAGTGGTCAGCACACAGGGAGATTTTGCAGGTTACCTGGAGTGGTTGTGTGCTGTAGGTGTAGTACAGGCCTCGCAAAATGCTCCCAAACAAGCAGAATGCTTGTAGGAGCAACTAAACCATCACGCAGTTTGTTTGATTCCTGTTGATGAGTTGGAAACAAGCTCCAAGACCTTCCAAAGGCCTGACTTCTTCAGTGCTTGAGGTCTGCAAAGGCCCATACATTTTGATTTGCACTCAAAGCCTTTGATTGACATGAATGACTCGGTTCTACTCTACAATACTTCCTCTGCTGTCGTACCACTAGTATTTGATACTCACTTGGTTTTGTGAGCTGTTAAACAGCAAACAATTTGGTCCTACTGATAAGATTCTGGCTTTTATGGAATTCAGTGAGAATATTACCATCCACTTCAATTGAAGTCAAGATTTTACCCATTGTTTTATTACACTTGAATGTTTTCTCTTTGTGGTCAGTTTATTAGAGGTAATTTACTTCTCTTTTTTTTTCTTCCTCCCTCTGTAGGGCTTTTGCAAGACGCATGTTAGAAAAAAATATCGGGGTTGTTGTGGTTGGGTTTCCAGCTACTCCTATCACAGAGTCCAGGGCTCGGTTTTGTGTGTCAGCTGCGCATACACGGGAGATGTTAGACACGGTAAGCACAGATGTCGTGCTGAAATTAATTTCAGATGCCGAGGGGGTTGGGAGGAGCTGTGTCTCTGTTACTTTGAATCTCAGTAATTCATTTTTACGTTTGTTCTTCTAGTCTTATCACTTGATCTTTAAAGGCATTGTAGTCTTATATATTTTATTTTAAAATACAGATTATGAGACAGTTAATTTACTGTGTTCTTCTATTTCTAGTAGTGGCCAAATCTGTCACAACTAATGAAGACATACATGAAAAACACAGCAAGACAAAAAAGTTAACTGATAGGTCAAAACTATCAGAGTAGGAAACCTGAACTGATGTGCAATAATTGCAGATCAGTTTTTCTATGCCCCTGTGTTCATTCTGTATTTCTACTTGTTTCTCAAATTGCAGTAGTACATGGGACAGCCTTGGGGGTACAGGTGGAAACTGTAAACCGTATTTAGAATGGTTTAAACCTAATGAGGTTTAATTGGTGCTGTCTGGCCCCTTCAGTTCCGTAACTTTCTCTGACAACAGAAAGACTATCAAGAATACGTTGAGACTTCCATTCCAACGCAGTCAGAAATGTGTTTTAAAAAAAAACCAAACTCTTTGACATTTTTCATCTCCCCTTCTTGCTGAAGGTCTTTTTTTCTTGGCTTCATATATAATCATCATTCTCAGAATAAACCAACTTAGAGACAGGCAGTGCTGAGGGTAGCAGTACATTTCAAGATTTCATTTTCTTCTCTTTGTACAAGTATGATGCTTAAAGGAGAAACAAACCAGAAAACTAACCCTGGGAACATAGAAGGCATTTGAGTAGAAGATGCCACTTCTTCATGCAGGCAAACACCTGTGTCTGCCTGAAAAGAGCCCCTGACTCCTGTTTGCATCCTGAGATTCGTATGGGCTAGAGGTGGGAGCCCTGCCTGGTTAACCAGCTCCTGTGCCAATGTGGGCCTCACTCGAACAACACTGAGAAATCTGCTTTGCATGTGTGCAATGCAAAATCCCTGCTGCTCTTAAAGTTGCAGTAGTTCTTAGCGGGGTATGATGTCATAAAATCGCGTTATGTACACGCCTTGATTGCTGTCACCTTTTACTCTTTGGCTGTACAGATTTTGGCTTACATAACTGGTAGAAATAAAGGAGGTTGATCTGAAGATTAATCTCTTGAGGTTGCTGCTTTCCTTTGCTTCCTCACCACCCACCCCAAGCTTACATCTGTCAGGCTTACATCTGTAAGCCATCACTGCATGCTTGCTTCTCCTACTTGTACATCACTGCTTCCTGGTGCCAGTGACAGCCTGAAACATTTCCCAGCTATCATTCTTGAACATACTGTGGTTTTACCTTGGAAATTGAAGTCATTTCTGTACTGTTTGTGGCATTCTTTAAATGTCCTTACATTGTGGGGGAATGGAAATGCCCTGAGTTTAATTACACGCAGGCTGAAAGGTTTTCTTAGGGCAAATACTTTGTGAACATTCCTAAATCCAGTGTAGTAACAGGTAACAAGCACAATGAAAACCTCCACCTCCCTTTGGCAAAACTTACTTTGAATTTTAGTCTGGAACTATGAAAAGGAAAGATCCACTTGGCAAGCTGTCAATAACAACCTCCTTAATGATTTTGAAGCTATCTTTTTGCATGAGCCATTACTGAAATATTTCTCTCTATTCTTGAGCACATTTCAGTGGCCTAACAGAAACAGGCTCACAATCTAATTTGCTGTTTTCTTTGCCAAAGGTCTGGCACTTCTTGAGTGTGGTTAAGATGCTGCAAGATGTTTAGCTGCTTTTCTGTGATGTAGCACTTTTTGAATCTGCTGAGAGCTGGGGGCACAGCTCAGCAAATTGCAATACAGTCCTAAAGCATGACTAATTCTGCCTATGATATTACAAGAAAACAGTGGAACACATTAGAAATACCTTGCAGGGTGTTTACAAGGACTCTGATTAGCATTTTGTTCTGAGTCTCATCCAAGAAAATATATTTCAGTCTTCAGGATCTGAATGGGAAACACTGAAGTATTGCCTTACATGTGTCTTTTTCAAAAGCGATCATCACTTTTTACCTGGATTATTCTTTGACCCCATGCTTCTAGAATGTCTTTTTAATTTGTGCTCACATTCTGACTGATACACCATGATCTACTGAAGGAGTCCTTTCTCATGCATTCTCACGGATGCTGTTGTACATCAGTGGCTGAATATTCATTATGAGAAACATAAAGCAACATTTGCCCTTTGTACACTTTGTGTGATGGCTTTATGGCCTTGTTCTTCTGCTGTAAAGTTGAAGATAATGAAACTCCATGTCTTTTCCCAAGAGAATTGACACAGTGTGATGGTTCTTACACAGGTTTTGAATGCTCTGGATGAATTGGGTGATTTTCTACAGCTGAAATATTCACGGTATTCCAAGTCATCTCATCCTGAACTGTATGAAGAAAGTCGGTTTGAATTTGAAGATTAAGTTTTCTGCCCATGAAGAGAACATTATGATGCTACAAAGGGGGGAAAACTCAAAACCCAAATATGAATGCATTTCTTTCCTTCTAAGGACAATTTTTGTTTCTCAGTTAATTGAAAGGAGGGAAAGCTTGATTTTTGCGTTTTAATGTATCAAATTTCTGTATTTAAGAGACTGAAATATTGATACAGATTTGCCTCCCAGGAGATCTGTTCTTCTTATGGTATTTTTTATGCAGAATGAATGCATCCATTGATCATGTTGCTAGCATACAGCTTTTGTTATGGCCTCTTTTTATGAAGAGGCTTCAGATAGTCCTAATTTTGACTGAAAGAATAAAGGTTAAAAACCAAATGGATCCAGTGTAGTATGGCAGTATAACTGAGCTTCATCAGTGAAATTGAATTCTGTCTGCTGAAGAGCATAAATCAAGACATCGCTGTGGATTGCTACAGAGCAGAAAGTGACCTCTTAACTAATTTGCCCTATCGTGCCTTTTTCCAGGGACAAAAAAAGAGTTAGAAGATGGCTAATGCTGAGAACAAGAACAGTTACCTCATCAGATATTTCTGACAACAGATTATGGGAAAGAGGAATGTTTCCTCCCCTCCACAGACCCTTTCTCTGCCACTTCAATATACTGTAAGCCTCATATTATAGAAAAGTTGGGGCTTAGAAATAAAGAAATGTTTTTATTCTAATGTATTTGACCTACAGCCTTCCCCATCTTATCACGACGAGAGCTTCTCAGCAGGCTTGCTCCCTTTTCATGTAGCAGCAGTAAATAATTTTAATAACCATTTAACTTTCCCGTAAAAAGCTTGATCAAAACAGTCAGATACTCGCAGTTCACAAACTGCAGATGACATTTATGGGCCCATTCCTAAGTTTCCTGAACTACTTATGGGCTTAATAAATTCACTAATAAGTACATAATGCCCAAGTTGTTAGTTATACAGAATTGTGACGTTCGGGATACCATGAGCAGTTCTCCCACCTGCTAAATTGAGAGCTCTGCCATTCCTAACTGCACTAACGTCACCCACTTAATAACATTTCTTGAAATGTTCTTGTCTGGTTTATGCATGTCAGGGATTGTTTTGCTTGTCAGGCTGCAGGCTTTTTGAGTGGCTTATTTTTCAAATAATTGATTATGTCATCTGAGAGGAAGACGTCCTTGTTCTCCTTTCCACTGCTCAAGTGACATATGCTCAAAGATGCTTGGAGGAAATGTTACAGTCTGCAGCTTCCCTGCAATGCCTTCAGCAGCAGAACCATCGGCCTCGTGTGGGCTGGGTAGTTGGAGGGATATTGTAGCTTTTTCCCTTTTCTGTGGTGTTGAAAAGTGGTTCTGCAGCTTTAAGAATGAACTCCAAACCATTCCACACTATCAAATGTCATTGTAAACACATCAGATGAGAGATGTTTAGGTTTCTGTTGCACAGATGTACCACACTTTCATGTTCTCTTGAAAGCTGTGGCGTAAACTTAACCCGCAGCTGCAATATTAGATTTAAGAACAGTACAATTAAATTGCGGAGTAGCAATTACACTATATTACTCTCTGCTTGTTAAAGCTGCTTTCAGGATATAACAAGGCTGATTGGTTATGAGGGGCCACTTTTTGTTGGGTTTTTGTTGTTGTTGTCATGCAAGTTAATAAAAATCCAGTGGTGCTATAACTTTAAGAACTGATTACAACACATTCCATGATATCAGATGTTGGCTTTAGGAAACATTTATCAAGGGCTGGGGCGGGACTAAGTGGTGTCATGTGATTCTTCGCTCCAGACTTGAAAAGCACTGCAGAGGTCCAAGGGAGCTGTGTTTGTGGACAAGAGCAAATTCACTGTATAAATATTAAAATATCCTTGGACATGGGACATGGAGAAATTAGGAAAGGTGGGCTTTGTCTTTAAGTAACTTGGTGATTTGTGATTTGCAGCTTGGCTACATGCAGGGTGAGTGCACTACTACAAAGGAGATGGGCTGAGAAATTTTCACAACCTGTTCCTCAAGGAAAAATACTGAGCGTGATATATTGCATTTTGATCTCCATTGCCGAACATCTGCGACCAGATCCTCAGTTGACTTCTGACCTTCCATCTTGGGGTGTCTGGCCGTAGTTTATATTTCAGCAAGCATTATTATATGTGCTGTTGCAGGCAGCATGCTTTTTTCCTCAAAGAGAGGCCTGAGATTGATTAAGCTACGGAATAATCACTTTTTGTCCCCCTATAGGGGAATGTTTTCTGTCTAAGGCTGAATTCCTCCTGCCCTCAGAACATTACTCTCTCTCATATTAAGGAGACAGGACAGCTATTTTTCAGAGACTGTTGGTTGATTTATTGTATGCTTTCTTCTGATTTCTTCCATCCCTTACACATTAGAGCAAGTACAGGCGGACTATCCCTGTGCTTGGGGAATGTTCTGGGAGAAATCCCTGCCCCACTGGTACAATAATACAACCCCCAGGAACTCCAGACTCTTAGATTTTTCCCCATGAGGCTGAGTTATGGTCTGGCACTGGTTGTTCCATCAGTGTAATTTCAGTGGAGATTTTCCAGATTTACATCAATTTTAGTAGATTTAGAGCTGATCACCACTTGGAAGACCCTATTTTAGCTAGCTTAAGAAGAAACTGGTGGAGTATTTATTAGGGAATTAGCACATCTAGCATAAGGATCACATTTCCTGCAATATACTCCATCTTCAAGTGCGCATGTTCTTGGGAGACGTAGTTCTCTGTAATTGTTTTAGGGGGTTTTGAAGAACTGTTTTCAATAAATAAAAATTGCTCAAGTCGTCATATTTTAACCCAGCAGAAATGTAAGTATGTGTACACCAACTTTTGGCTGGCAAACTACAGTTCCAGCATCTCGTTATCTTACCTAAAATCTTGATTGACCTTCATGCTAGGGGAAGACTCCAATTGTCTGTTTGACAAAGCAGCTGAGTTGTTTGCTCTTCCCTGTACGTTTATCCCACCTCATCTTTCAGAAAGCCTACATTTCCTGGGCTTATCTTATTTGTCAAGGTGGTTCTTCCCTCTTTACATTGTTCTTTCTTTTCTGCAAGTTTCCATCCTCCAGGTCTCAGGGAAAGCACACAGGCACCTGCATGGGACCTGAAGTGTGTTATCACTGGATTGTAGGCATTGCCTCTCTCTGCCTCATTTTCCTGGTAGCCTCACAGCTCCTGCAGACCTTAATCATTCATTTTTTCACATAAAAGTTTCCTACTGCTGTTGCTAAGTTTCTCAGCTGTACCACATCTGACCTGCGCAAGCTGCTGAACCAAGAGTAGGTTTGACCTATTACTCACACAGGTGTAGATCAGGTTAAACCTTGCTTTGAAGTCAGTACTGTTAGTTTAAACCTGTAGCAACTAAAGAGGGACCTGTCAGTGTGAGGTGAGCTGCCTGCGTCTGTTACTGAGAGATCTGAACGCTGATGTCTCCAGACTGTTCCACAGCTGCTCTTCACAGATGACCGTGACATGGGATTCAATTTATTTAAGGTGGGATTTGAATTTTCTTTCCCTTTTTCTTCTTTTTCCCAAAATGTGTTTGCTTGAATGGGAATTGTGTATTTCCCTATCCTTTTGAAATAGGGAAAAATAACAAAGTAGGAAAAACAGCCTACACTAAAGGTGTTTCTTTGAATATATATTTTCTAGCTTCCTTAGAAATGCAATAGCAATCGTCTAATATATGCTAATCTGCTTTTTATCTGTGCTTAAAGTTTAATTGTTTTTCAAATTAAACACAGATCAGGACCAAATTTTAAAGAAGCCACACTGCAGGCTGAGAAATGGCAGATTCCATCCCAATATTGGTAACTGAACATTTCAGCCTCCAGTTATTTTCTAAGGAGCTCAGATCACAGTGTTTCTCTCATCTACTCACACATCCAATATTGGTTGTGCTTGCTGCAGACCAGTCACAAACTAATGAGGCTCTCGCTCTCTCCATTAGTAAAACAGAGAGTCAGACTCATCAGGACAGTAACAAAGCGACCACACAACTGACCGCATAAAATAAGAATTCAGCAACAGCAGAATGAGAGCATGGGGCCTGAATCAGACCGGATGCTCAGCAGTCACCAAAGAGCTGAGCATGTCTCTTTTGACACACTGACAGGACATAGTAAGGGAGCAGTGATAAATCCAACACGTTTCTCAAATGGAAAGGTAATAGAGAGGTAGATTTAAGTGTGTGCAAACAATTTTTTTTCTGTGAGCATTGGAAGAGTTTTACATTTTTTTAAATCAGGTTTGAGGGAAACTTAAATCTTTGATATTCAAATGGTGATTTTGAGCTGGGCAAAAAGAGATGCTATAGCCCATGTGTGACTCCAAGTTGTTCATGGTGAGAAGGCAGAATAGATGGAATCTATAGCAGATGTCCCTGACGCTTCGTATTCTCTTATGTTTTATAGATAGTCACACCTCCCAGATGCTGCACAAAGATCAAGTAGTTTTAATTACTATCAATAGACTCAAGTTCAATAGCTTGAGCTGCAGGGATAGCCAGGTTTGCAGTGATTTGAGCCACCATCTGCAGTGATCAGTACTGGTGCTGAAAATTGTTCAGAGGTGATGCTAGTAGTAGTCATGCACAGAGTCTTTGATGATTGTGATGCCCTCACTGGACGTCCTTGCTAAGGTGCCAGTGCTACAGGTGGATCTCTTTTTTTTCAAGTACAGAAGGACATGCTCTGTGGATTATTCCAGCAGGTAAGTATCCTTCTGACAAACAAGCTCAACCAGAAGGTGTTGCCATGAAATCTGGACCTTTGAAGGTAAGTCAAGTACTTGCAGTAACAGAAGAAATGTGATATGTGTCACTGTGGAACAACAGTGCCAAACATGGCAAGTGAAGCTTGCTTTTGTGCCATCCCACTGAGTCCCTCAAAGAACTTCCTGTGAAAATTCTCTGCCTCTGTTACCCTGTGGGTAGGCCAGAACTGTATGTATCCTCCAGTTTCTGGAGCACCAAACTGATCTCTCGTGCTACAGCAAAGCATTAAGCATCATTCATTATGTCTGCAGTCCTTACCTACCATAGCTCCATTTGTGCTCCCAGCACAGCAAGCAGCAGGTGTGTTTTATCTGGTGAGAGCACAGCATGAAGTGGGCTGCTGAGCCTACTGGCTTCCAGCATGACGCTCTCTAGTCCCAGTAAATGGCTGTTGGCACAGGCTGGCTTTTGCTGTGCTGCAGGTGGTAGCCTCTTGTCTGAAGTGGGTTTCTCATCTGCTGACCCTTCCAGCAGCTGTTCTGGAATAGCACAGAAGTGATGAAATCAATGGGAATGTTACAAAAGTGCAACTTCCACCGTGTGTTTCCTGGAGCTTGCTCAGACACCAGTATGCCATGTGTCCTACTCTCCCCATGTTACCACACAAACCTCGTGATGCCTTGGCTCTCTGTGCAGTACAGAAACTGTTGTACATATTGGTGGGGATCTTACTTCCATGTGGGAGTTACTTCTGAAAAATCCGTTAATACTAAGGGTGCAGCTGCCTGCAGCCAGAGCACTCAGAAGAGACATGATATAATTTGTGGACCACATACGCATACTTCAGACATTTCTCTATCTGCAGAACATGTGGATCCGAACTCTCTGACTCCCACTGTATATTCCAGTGCCCAAATGTTAAGAGTTCCTCTTCTCAGCCAACCAATGTAATGTACCGAACAGCTCTCTATGCTCAGTCTAAAAGAATCCACTTGATTCTATCTCCACCCTTCTAAGTAACTGTAGATGAGACACATTAAGGGTCTTTGCCTCACTTTTTTTTCCTCTGTAAAACTGTGGTAGTGATCCTGATTTATTTGTAAAACACGAATTGATGAGAAGAGCTGTCAAAGAGCTAAGTATTGTCATTACCTGAGCAATCTTTTCATTTCTCCATTAATCCTGTACAAGACACGAGTACCCTGCTTACCAGACTTGATCTACAAGATGGTACAATGGTGAGGACTCATAGAAAAAAATTCTGGGAAGGAGATCCTTTTGTCTTGCTCCAGTGATGTCAATTGGACTAGGCAACTGTTTAAAATGGGAATTTATCTTTACAAAGATTTGTAGCCAAGCCTTTCCAGTTTGTTAAAATGTAATTAGTGTCTGCTTGTTAATATGATGTTCATTGATTTTTAAAGTACACAGACTTCAAAGCTGAAAATAAATAAATAAAAAGAGAGATAATTCAAACCAGAGTGGAACAGCTTGGACAGTTTTACTCTTTTGCCAGGATCCCAAAGCTGTTGTGTTCAAACAGTGCCACAGTTTGAGTGGAAATGTGACATTAAATCCAAACCCTGCATGTCAGCTTTTTTGCAAATGACTATCCAGGATTTCACTAAAAACTTGAACCACAAGAGTTCATGTTGTAGGGATTTTTATTGCTTAACAGCTCGTGATAGTCTTCTGTTTCTCTATTATGCATAATAGGCCTAGGTACCTACAGCCTAGTAGTTCAAATGCTATAGGTACAGGACAAATGGCAGAGCAGCAGAGAAAAGCAATCCTGCAGTAATTCAGCAGAGTAACAAAGTGAGAATTGCCAAATATCAACCTAAGAGAAATGGTGCAAAGGTAATGAAAGCGGATTGTAACAGATCTGTTAGCTGTA